CATTAAATTCCAGTGAAATATATTTATGTTTGTGGTTGTAATGTGACAAAATATGGAAAAGTTCAAGGGGTATGAATACTTTTGCAAACCACTGTAAATCTCTTTAAAACAGTTTGAATAGCAAGAAGAAAAGTTGTGTTTTCTTCCACCCAAATTATGAAGATTCAGATCTTTTGAAGTAGGTGAACAGTTAGTGTCTTACCTGTTTTAAATGACTTTTTGAACAACCTCATATTGAAGACTAGCAGTTAGCTTGTCTGTTCGCTTAAAATCGAGTTTTATTTCTCCAAGCTGAGGTTGTTCAAAATGCTATCTCCAGCAGGTGAGATAATTATTGTGCATGTTCTTTCTAGAGAACCCCACTTCAAAAAATTGTGAGCTACAGCTTTAAGACCATACATTAAAATACTGACTTCTTTTCAACAAGAAAACATWTTCATGATAACCCTTTTGCTTATTTTCAGAATGGATAAAAACACAACTTTTGTGTTTAACAAATGGTTTAAAAATTTACCAAGGACTCATTAAAACGTTTGTTTCTTTGTGCTGATTTAGTGGTTGTCCAGGGAGAAAAAAAATCTAAAGTCCAGCGTGTCATTTGTCATGTTGCTTGTTGATTTGTCAACCCTCTGCTGCCTTAAATAAAATGATAAATACAGCCTTATTAACTGATGGATGAAAGAAAAAATTTGGTTTTGTTTTAGTGACATTCTGGACTGAACGTTTGCTGCAGAGTCAATATTTAGGTTCACTAACATTAGATTAATCCCCAACACACATTCTGAGCAGTAACAGATTGTCCAAGAGCTTTGTTTCAAATGTTCCCACTAACTTTACAGTCAATGTTGTTAGCAAAATATCTCAATAACCACTGGACTCATTTCAATGAAACCTTCAGGAATCAGTCATTGACTGTACATCTGTAAATGGCGAGGCTTTGAAGACAGCTTTATTACAGAATATTAGGCCTTTAATGAATCCAGTAAACCTGAAGCCATTTCCACATTAATATAATGTATCTTGAGAAAACTGCAGTCTGGTTTGTTATTATTTTTCATTTATCTGCATGCAACAATTCTTCCTCCGTGTCCCACAGAGAGCTGAGAGGAGCCAAATCGTTGTTACAGCTGACACCATTGTGTGCTGCTTCCTTTGTGTGAATCTCCGAACACACAGCAACTGTGGGTAAAGGGATGTGCAGCGACTCATTGTCCTCTTTTCCTCAGCATAAGCCGGGATCATTTTGACTCCAAATTGATCATTTAATTACATTTCTCATTAACAGTACAATGTGTGTGCAGCATTTTCATCTGAAAAAGACAGTTTTAATAAACCCACTGTTTCCATAGTAATAATATTCATTGMAGGAATGCACATCACCTGTCATATTCATGCCAGATTTTGAAATAAGATGGTTTTATGTAGAGCTGTGCATACACTGATTACTTTATGAGTTATTTTTAAATCTGTCCAGTGGTTTATGAGATATTTTTCTAACACAAAGACAACCAAACTCACTTGTGAAACATTGTACTTATTGTCAGTGTGCAACAGATGTTGTATTCAGCCTTTATTCTATTGGTCAATTCCTTTTTTTTGCACATCTGGAGTCACTTTGGTTTAAAAAGGATTATATAAAACTGTTTGTTGTAGATCAATGATTTCTGACAGGATATTTGCTGGAGACCATTCCTGAGAATCAGCCATTTCCCTCAAAAAAGATTTATTTGTAGATAAATCGTACTTACTTCAGAACTTAACCAGAACATAACTTTTGCGTGTTTGTTTTTTCCTTTCAAGTAGTACTTTTTTCTTTTTTTTTAGTGACAGGAAAAAGAAAACAGGCTTCACGACTTGAATCTTGCCCTTGGCTCCCCACTACAATTTTTCTTTCATTTTTTTTGCAAGCTTTKTCCTTCACTTTCCTTTCTCAGCCCTATCCCTACGGTTTCAAATCTAGGTTATATTCATTTTCGTACACTGAAGCAGGCAAGAGAGACAGTCATGTAATTGCCTGACCGTTCTGCATCACAAAAAAAAAGAGAGAAGAAAAGCTGAAGTCTGGTTTAAACCAGTGAGGCTGATGTCAGTGAAATGGAAGAATAAAGAATTACACCACATGAGAATTTTTGAATGCACCCCCCCCCCAAAATAAATAAATAAATAAATAAATAATATTGGGGGGATGTTTATGGATTGTGAAATATGCAAGGTCTTTCTGAAAAAAAAAAACACTCTTGATGTGGAAACTGTCCATGCCAGAAGGCTTAATGCACCCCCATACTATCAGAAAGGCTGAATTTTAAATTGTACTCGCAACAGGCTGGATGTTCCCTCTCCTTTTTCTCATGGAAAATATGTGGTTTCCAACAACAATTTAAATGTTCGATTTGTCTAACCACAGATTAGTTTTCTACTTTGTCTCGATCCATCATAAATTAACTTTGACCCAGAGAAGATGACAGCCTTTCTAAATGGTATTTAACCAATATTTGTGGAATCCACTGCAAACTGTGTGATTTATGGATGTGTTCTTGAGATCTATGGCGTTCCAGGGTATGCATGGGGTGGTCTCTCGTTGGTACCGGTTCCAGCAGCACTCCTGCAGCTTCTGTTTTAGCTGCTTGTGGCAAAACCATATTTAACATTGAACATCATGCGATCAGACCTGCTCCAAAATATCTGTTCTTTTCTATAAACAGCTAAAGCTCTTACCTGTATCTCCTCACAGATTCCTCTGGTTGGTCCCGGTCAAACAAACCACCCGTCCCTATAAAGGACAAGTCAACTCTAGGTGCTCACCTGAGAGGATTCACTCACCTGAAGAAACTGGGAATCCAGGCTGATCTCTCCTGAAAAGAGAAAATATCAAGTAAGAAAGCGTAAAGAATTGTTCAGATTGGAAGTCTGACTAACGCAGAAAAACTGATTAAATTTTCAGTTAAATTTATTTTCTGATGTAAAGACACCATTTCACTCTGAGCCTGTGACAAACCTGGTCACATATCCTGGGGGTTGTCCGTCTTATGTCAACATTGGAATGTTTGAGACATAAAATATTGCTGGAGTGAGGCACATGTTAAATAGAGACTTGCTGATTCCCTTACTGTTTGAAGTAAATGGCTGCAATTGATCACAAAGTTTAATACAGTATATAAGACTGCGTCTAAATTTCAGCTAATCAACCACAAAACATCCAACAAACGATTATCAATAACAACAAAATTCCAAACTCCAACTTTTAAACTATAAATTTTATTCTGTCCTGTGTCCAGATGTTCTCCAGTGTCATGCCCTTCACAATAAAAGCACAAGTTTTACTGTGCTTTTATTCCTGTTTGGTAAGTTTGGCAATCGGAACTGTTGAGTAAAATAAGTGTTTATGAGATTTAGTTACGCAAAGTAATAACTTTTTGGGGTCGATTGAGGTCGCAAATGTCGCAGGAAAACAAGCTTTCTGGTTGTTTGACCTGTTGACTTTCCCTTTGCGAGCATAAGGCCGTGCACGTGAGGCCATGACATTTTCAGAATTTTGTTTGTGATCCAGCAGCGCAGAGTTCAGTAAGCATTGACCTTTTAATGCTTGTTACACTGCAGCCTCTCCAAGAGTAGACACAAAAGAAAAGAGAAAAAAACAACATAAAAAATAAAAAGAAGAAGCTTGGAAGCGCTTTGGGAATTAATTGTTTGAATTCTGGCTCTCTGATGAAAACATTAGAACAATAGGCGGTCTGAGCGTGGGCTTTGCTTGCACACGTTTCTAATTTTTCACCAAAATCACTGCCGCCCCCCAACACATCTTATTTCCCTTGGATATGCAACACGCAGCCATAATAATGATTTAATCTGTTCCCAAAGCCGTGCACCGACTCCACCGGAGAGCTTCGACATGGGGACACTGCAGACACATTTCTGCAGGCCCGTGGTGCTGGTAGTCATTAACCTTCTACTAAAGCAATTTGGGCCAGAGAAGTATGTTTTGTCTCTAGATGTCAGGCAGGGGTGGAGATGAGATGTAGCCAGGAATACAAGAACCCATTTTTTCGCAAGGTAAAAAGGGCTATTTTTATTCGCCATGTGATGAATGGTGTCTGTGAAGGTGCCTCGGTCCTTTGCCACCTTCTCTCCCCTCACTCTCCATTTGTACTGTTCTATTTTCTGTTACCCTTTGTTCCTCCAGCCCTCCTCGTTGGCTTGTCGTCTCGTTCTCTGGTCTCAACCGCTCCCTCGTTTTCTCTCATCTAACTCCTCCGTCTCCCACACAGAATCTATCGTGGCTAACTTTATCTTCCTCTGTGACTTGCTGTCTTCCCTCTCCACAGCGGGTTCGCTCGGAGCCGAAGGCGACTCGCTGGCTGAGCCGTCGGCTGCAACACAGGACATGGGTCCTAACTCCCATCGCTGCTCGTGTCTTGTGTTGCAGCCAGTGGAGCTGCCTGTCTGACTCCTCCGCCTCTCTGACTGTCTGATGATGGACCAAACTCCCAGAGCAACATGGAAATCTATGAACCGCGGACTTGTCGGAGTCCTCGCTTTACAGCCTGCTTTTGAAAACTCACTGTCAATAGGGTTTTCAAATCAATACTTTGTCCTCTCGCATCAGACAATAAAGTGCTGTAGATAAAATAACACCTGTGTTGGGTTTTTGTTGGTAATAATGGTAACATTTCAGTTCAAAGAGACGTGTTTCAGTTTGTGTTTATTATTAGTATTTGGTGTCTTTTGAATTATAGGCTGTGTCCAAAACGGCAGGACGGGTCCTCCGAAGGTCGAATTTGTCGGCCGCATACGTCACAGCGCCGCGACGAAGGACGTCCAAAACGGAAGACTCCTCCGATGCGTCCGACAAATACGTCCTTCTTTTTCCCCGAATCGAAGGACAGGTCCGATGGATCCTTCCCGGCCCAGCATATCCCATAATGCATTGCGGCCCGACCGGAGGTTTTTTTATGCTAGTAATGGCGGACGAAGTGAGAGAAAAGATATAAAAATTTTATTTTTTTAGCAGTTGTAATTCTAATACTTTTATCATTTGTATGGACGTGTTTTTAAATATTATTTTT